TTTCCTTGCTTAACTTATGAATTGAGAAATACAAGACCATACCTACAAATGAATTATATGAGCTCTGTCAAAAACTGACTTTGAAAATTATCTATCAAAAAGAAACATATTCAACTAAGACCTTATTCAAAAAATAATGATTTTCGACATTCGACAACTATATTCCTTCAAAACAACCATCAGGTAACATATCCGTATGTGGAAACCAAAACAAATTGACCACAGGTACTCCACACGTAGTAAGATGACTGCCGCAGTTGCAGTTAGGATAACGCTTGTCCTCACGTTTTACAAATCACCACATCCACTATATTCCCCAGACCTCATGCACTTCGATAACTTTATCACCGGTAGAACGTTCGCCAATCAGTACTTCAGTCGACTTCATCGAATCCAGAGCACCCAGTTTTTATGCTGTCGGAATTATTCGACTCATGCTACGTTGGCAAACGTGCACGGATTTAAATGGCGCTTATTTCGAACAAATGAAATAAGTATTCTCTGAAATATCACACTTTAAAGTAGAATCATGAAACGTACAAAACTTTTCAAACAACCAAGTAATTTAGTTTTGGAATGTTTTAACTTTTGAGTTGTTCATAAGTCGTTTTATAGCTGTCAACTCATGGTTATGAAACAAACATCCTAATAATTGTAGTATTTTATTTTTATAGAGTATGTTTAAAATATGTTTTCCGTTAACCCTCAGAAGTCGAAACTTGTGCGAGCTAAGGATTAACGAGGTCTTACCTTTTAACGTATGATTTTTAAAACGGGTTGGACGATAGTAAGTGAAAATCGAGCGTTCAGCCTGGGGCGTGAACCATCGACTCACATATCGGCCGTTTGACTAAGTGAACAAAGCACTCACGTCGAACCGCCCGGCTACCTACCGGGCTGTTAATATATATGCATTCTTGATGGTTGGTTTTGAATAAGAGAGACAAAATTGATGGCATAACCTGGAAATAATATGTGAAGCTATTTATGGGTTGCCTTTTATATTTCGGGATTAGAAAACAAAAACAAATATTAATCATCGAAAATCACTTTATTGTTTTTCAAAATATCCCCCATGAAGATCTATACACTTTTGTATGCGTTTGAACCAGTTGTCGAAGCACTTTTGCCACTCTGATTGAGGTATCTCCAAAACATGCATTCTGAATGCAGCACCCGCTGCTTCAGGTGTCGAAAAACGTTGACCTCTTAGTTTGTTTTTTACGTACTGAAATAAAAAGAAGTCATTCGGTGCCAAGTTAGGACTATACGGCGGATGACTCATCAAATCGATGTTTTGGGTGCTCAAAAATGCAGTTGTTTGGGCCGATGTGTGAGAGATCGCATTGTCGTGGTGAAGAGTAATCCGGCGGTTGATTTTCCTGATTTCTTGGAAGAAAACTGGCAAACAAATGGTTGTGTACCACTCAGAATTGACTGTTCTGCGATTCATCACCTGTCATGATGCCATAGACGTGTTTCGAAGCACCGCGATCGTATTTTTTTATCATTTCCTCAATCGCCACGAGCCTTTTTTGAGAAATTGAAAAATTGTGTGGTATCCAAGGCGAACCCATTTTTTGACAGTCAAATGTTTATGCAATATTGAATGTATGCTGCAAATTTCTCTTAGAGACCACGATTGAATTCACCATACCATCGATAAACACTGGTCCTTGATGGAGCTTTATCGCCAAAAATTGAATTAAGTTCATCCATGCACCGTTGCTTAGTTGATCCACGTCGAAAGTTCTAAAAAATAATCGCTCGAAATGAATCTTTTAAGTTACTGTAAACAACACACATAGCGCGCGTATGTCAAAACGTTCTGAATACGTATAAGCTCAAAAATGTCCAACTTTACGATAGAGCTGTCAATTACCAGATTGCAACACTAGGGTTGCCAAATCCCAAAACATAAAAGGCAACCTATCGTACATCTACTTCTTGGCTTTTATTGGTTTTTAACAATCCATAGTTCAGCTCTGATGGAAGGTTGTGAATCATCAGCAAAAAATGAGACGATGATACCAAAAACTTTGTCAGGTGACAAGTGTATTTCGAATAAATGTTCGTGGAAGCAAGCATTTCATATTAGCAAACAAAGACTTTATATTTGCAAATGTAGGATTATGAATAAAATCTTAGGGACAGAAAAAACTTCCTTCATACTTCTGAATATTTCAAGGCCTCATGTCGACCAAACGTAAACAAATTCTTATGCAAACAGCCATGACTGTGAATATTTTTCTGAAGGAAACATTCCGATGCTACTTCTAGAAATATCAATCATCATCGATAACATCTACCTTGTATATACTCCATGAGTTGATTATCGACGGTTGGTTAATGCCTTTATCATGAAATCCTTCCAAGGACCTTTCTAATAATATCCTCCGGATAATTAGAGCAATTCCCACTTGTATCATTCCCTTTCGGTCTTCAATTATCATTATTTAGGTGTGCCATGCATTCAGTTCGAATAGAAGGCCAACCTACGTAAGCCTTACCTTTATCGATTGGAAAATACAGAAACAAACGACTCTGCAGTTCACCTATCACGCAAAAAACTTGGGACATTGGAAAAACTTTTAAGCTTTTCCGATAATGCTCAAAATGATCCTTTTACATCGATACAGGAGGCGTGAATGGTAAAACATGAAATGTATATAAATGAAGTATTACAAAATACATGAATTTAACACACATGAGAGTGCTCGTATAGAAAAAAAAACAATCAAAAGTGTTTTTACATACAAATAATAGTCGAAATAGGTAATGCCCGTAAGGAAATTAATTGTAGACTGGCGAATGTGGATAATAAAAATTAATTAATATTATAAAATCACAATCCTAAGCACACCACTCGCACACCTCTAGTAAATACATGTAAGGAGAAGGGATAATTTCCATCACATCTGAAACTGTGTAGAGCAACCCCAATTATGAAATAAGGTGATATAAATAACTGTGATAATTATAGATATAAAAAATATTAATGGGTCAGAATAACTTTTCATAATTTGCTATATGTCCAAGATAAAGAGGACCAGCGTGGAAAAGTCTAAAACTTATTCGAATTACTTTATGCAATTCACTAATTGAATGATTATGCTGGTACATCATTGAAGTTGTTATCAAAAAAGTTGACTTATACCCCTTCTCTGGAGCATACATAGTGCTGGATACCCTGATTAATCACCTCAACAATGATGGATTCTACACAATTGCATATGCAGATGACATAGTTATCTTGCAGACCAGCAAATTTGTGAACACACTGTGCGATAAAGCGCAGGATGGGATCAAATTAATAGAAACATGGTGTAAGGAATACTCACTGTCGATCAATTCCAAGATGATTGTGATGATTCTTTTCACCAGGAAAAACATTTTATCGGGCTCAAAACCTCCCGAAATCTTCAAAAGCAGACTAAACTTCTCTGAAGAGGTGAAATACCTTGGTACTATCCTTGGCAGAAATCTAACATGGAACTCTCACCTACAGAGTAGAGCAAGAAGAGCATATGTGGCTTATGAGCAATGTCGGAGAACAGTGGGACGCGCATGGGGTCTTTCACCCCGTGTGGTCACCTGGATATACACTGCAATAATAAGACCTATGTTAACGTACGGAGCCATTGCATGGGGACCGAAAGTTCTACAAGCAACGGCCATCCAAAAATTATATCAAATACAGCGACTGGCTTGTTTGAACATCACAGGAGCCATGAGAACAATACCAATCGCGGCAATGGAATTAATTACGGGTCTGGCCCCTCTGGAACTGTACATTGAGGAGGTTACGTTGGCCATGGCCATGGCCATGTTACGATTGCGCACAGCTGGTGTAAACCTCGAAGTAGGAATGGGTCAATTGAGGCTGAGCCTATGGCGAGAAGCGCTTACTGCGCAACCTCTGCTGCAGGCAACCAGTGATGCAGTTGAACCAAGGTTTGTGTTTGATAAACTCTACAAAATACAAGTGAAACAGAAGACAGAGTCAGATGCTACATACAAATGGAATACGCATATATATAGACGGCTCAAAAACC